AATATATTTTAGGGAATTATGATTATCATAAGAGTCCGGAATGAGGGTTGCAGAGTGGAGTATACTTGGGGTGAGGGTAGTGGTGTGCGGGGGGATTGTGTACCAGTGAAGGAGTTTTTCTTTTGCTTTTCTAGGAGAAGAGAGAACTGGGAGTGGGGGTGGGGTGGCCAGGGAGAAAAGTGCAACAATGAATGAATGTTGTTGTTGTTGTTGTTGTTATGTGCCATCGAGTCGTTTGCGACTCATAGCGACCCTATGTACAACAGCCCTAAACCCTGCTCTATCCTGTGCCAATCACATTGCCTCTGACACACCCATCCCGATTACCCCAGTCACTGAATCAATCCACCTCATAGAGGGTCTTCCCCTCCTGCGCTGTCCTTCCACTGTGCCCAGCATGATGTCCCTCTCCAAAGACCTGTCTCTCCTTACAACATGTCCAAAGTATGTCAGGCGAAGCCCCAGAATCCTTGCCTCCAAAGAGCAGCCTGGTTTAACCCTCTCTAGGATGAATCTATTTGTTTTCTTGGCAGTCGATGGTACATTCAGTACTCTTCTCCAGCACCACAGCTCAAAGGCGTCAATTCTCCTTCTATCCTCCCTAGTCATTGTCCAACTCTCTGATGCTAACAAGTGATTGCAAAAACCATGGCCTGTATCAGGCACACCTTAGTCTCCAGAGAGACACCATTGCTCTTGAGTACTTTAGAGAGGTCCCTATCCGCAGACTTTCCCATCGCAATACGTTTTTTTATTTCCTGGCTACTGGTGCCAAAAGTGTTGACCGTGGAGCCGAGCAAACTGAAGCTGTGAACAATCTCAATCTCTTCACTATCCATCCTGATGCTACCGATTGGTCCAGTGGTGAGAATTTTTCTCTTCTGGACATTGAGCCTCAGTCCGTATTGAAGGCTGCGTGTAGTCCTTGACCCTCTGCAGTAAGTGCATGAGGCCCTCCTCAGTTTCAGCGAGCAGGGTTGTGTCATCTGCATAACACAGATTGTTGATAGATCATCCACCAATCCTAACTCCACGCCACGCTTCTCCTCATAGAGCCCAGAATGGAAGTCCAAAAAAAAAAAGAAAGAAATCACTGTTCGTTACAATCACAAGTAATTTAGATATTGTCTTACTTGATGTGCATTATGTTTGTTATTCATTGCTATTGAATTGGAACCACCTCCTAGCTGACCCTCCTGTGTATTTTCAGAGGTTGTAAATCGCATGAAAGCAGAGTAAATGTCTTTCTGCCATGTAGTAGCTGCTGGATTCAAACCACTTGCTTTACAAGTCGACAGTGCAACTGCTTGCCCACTAGGCCATCAGAGATCCTCAAAACACATACTAGTGTGAGGAACTTTTATCCTTTTTTTTTCTGGGTCACTCTGCAGACCTGATTTTTTTTTATTATTAATTTTCATGAAAGTTTACAGAAACTTAGAGTTTCCATTCATTCATTGTTACACTTTTCTCCCTGCCAACCCCCCTAATTCTTTCTTCTCCTTGAAAAGTAAAACTCTTTTACTGTTATGCAGTCCCTCCCCCGAGTCACTAATACCCGATCGTATATCCCTTTTAAACAGTTCTCTCCCTCTTCTGTTTCAATGTAGTATACATATACATCATTCATCCCCCCACCTTCTCTGTCTTCTCTCAACCCCGATGTCAGTCTCGCTTTACAACAGTGGCCCTGTGCAATATTTGTCCTTTTGTGACTGAGATGTTTCACTCAGCATAATGTCCTTCAGGGTCACCCATATTTTATAATATTTCATGAGTTCCTTGTTTTTCAATGCTACATAGTATCCCATTGTGTGAATATACCACAGCTTCTCTGTCCATTCGTTTGTTAATGGGCACATGGGTTGTTTCCAGCTCTTTGCTGTTGTAAACAAAGCAGCAATAAACATGGCTGTGCATATATCTGCTTGGGTGGCAGTGATGGTTTATCTAGGGTGTATTCCCAGTAGTGGAATTGCTAGGTGTCCTCATTTTTCAAATGGGAAAATGAGGTTTGGGAACAATGAATCGACTCACTGAAGTTGACACCACTTTGGAGGCTTAACCATGGCTAGAATCCACGTGTATTACTTTTCAGTTTCTCTACTGAAACTTTATATGTGGAGGAGAAACTCACTGTAAACATAGTGACAAGTCACCTGCTAGGAGCCAAATGATAGTCTTTCCTTTTAGGTAGAATTTTTGAGAGATGTTAGTTGGTGGCTGGTGTAGTGCATCCTCACAGTTTGGGGCCCCTGGTACTAGGTGGCAGTTTTTACAGGGAGTGAAACAAATTGTCCTCATTTGTGGATCTCACTGATGACACAGCTGAGCAGCTGTATCCCGGGACACAGGCTTGCGAGCTCTTCTCACCTGCTTCATTTCTCCCACAAGTCCCTGGCATGACGATTGCCATAGATTCCCCATAGAAACTACTGGGGCTGGGGAATAGATTTGGGAAGAAAAGACAAAATGTGGCACCAGGATCTAAATATAAAATTGAAAGCATTGGGGGGGAAAGCTTGCTGTCACCGAATGGCAGTTCATCCTGGGAGAAAGCCAGAAAAGAGAGGCCGCGGGCCCTTCCCTTCCCTCTCCCCTCTCTGAAAGTCATCTTTTCCCAGCCACAAAGTAGAGTTTCCCCTCTTCTCAGCAAAGTCACTCGCTGTGGTTTGTAGTGTCATTCTGTATTTTGACTGAAAAATCTATTCTGCCTGGAGGCTAGAGAGATGTTTTTAGGAGTGTATGTTTTTATGATGTGAGCAAAAATATTTCCTACTTTTTAAATTGAGGAAATAATGATAAACCGGATGTTGAAACCAAAAATCTTCCCTGATCCTGCGACTGTTGTTAATGGATAATGTTAGCATTTTTGAGGAGGATCTCAGCCCTTCAATCTGAATCCCCAACACTTCTCTCAGACTTCCAACATCTACATGGTGGCGCTGCAATTTACATTAAACGGCAATGGAGCCTAGTAGGTAGCTTCTTCGAGATCCTTTAAATGCTTTACTGGAATTTTTAAGTTATTTGACTTCTGAATAGTCAAGACAAAGCACCAGTTGGCTACTCAGTAGTAGTCAGGCCATGGTGATGCGGGCAGAGTTAACTTCAGAACCTTTTTTGGAAAAGGACATTGTGTCTCTGTATATCTAATGGCCTGTGCTTTCCGTGTGATCATCAAGAATTGGGGATTCTCAGCGGTCATGTCCGAGAGTGAACTTAGCCAGGGCCCTCTTCCTCTCCAAGGCTTTGACAGTGATATTTGGACCTTACCTGGTTTTCAGCCCTGTTGTTGTTGTTTGATACTGTCTAGTTGACCATGACTCATAATGACCCTGTGAACAAACAGGTTGAGATATAGCCCTGTCCTGAAACATCTTCATAATCACCACCATGCTCAAGTCCATTATTATAGTCACTGTGTCTATTTTGTTGAGAGTCTTCCTTTCTTTTATTGACCTTCCACTATCTAAGCGTGGTGCATGCCTACAGTATGTGGGACTAAGTGTCACTGTCCTTGCCTCTAAGAAGCACCCTGGTTGAACTTCTCCCAAGACAGTTTTGTTTTTTATCTTGGCAGTCATGGGGTGTTTAGTACTTTTTGTCGACATCACAATTCAAAGGCATCAGTTCTTCTTCAAGTCTTCCTTATTCATTTCCCAACTTTCACATGCATATGAAGCAACAGAAAATACTGTGGCTTGAATCGGAGTACCTTCGACTTTAAAGCAACATCCTTGGTCTGTAGCACTTTAAAGAGGTCCTTGACAGCAGAAGTGCCTGATGCAACATGTCTTTTGATTTCTTGACTGCTGCTTCCAGGAGTATTGATTGTGAATTCACCAACAGTGAAATCATTGACAACTTCAGTCTTTTCTTCTTTATCATGATGATTCCATTGGTCCAGTTGTAAGAAGATCCTTGTTTATTTGCTCTTGAGGTATTAGCCATGTTGAAGGCTATATTCTTTGATGTCCTTCAGTACATGCTTCGAATCGTCTTCACCTATGCAAACCCCGGTTGTCATCTGTGTTCCCCAGATTGTGAGTCTTCCTTCAATCCTGATGCCATATTTTTCTTTATGTAATTCAGCTTCTCCAATTATTTGTGCAGCATAAAGGTTGAATAGGTATGGAGGAAGGAAACAACCCTGACACAGCCTTTCCTGATTTTAAAATATACGATATCCCCTCATTCTGTTCAAACTGCTGCTTGGTTTCTGTTTAGGTTTCAATGAGCGCAATTAAGTGTTCAGGAATGCCCATCCTTCTTAACATTATTCCTAATTTATTGTGATCCACACTGTCAAATATCTTTGCATAGTCAATACAACACAAGTAAGCACCATACTGGTATTCTCTACTTTTAGATTAGATCCACTTAACATCAACGATATCCCTTGTTCCAGAGATATGCTATTCAACCCTTAGTAATATGAAATTACATTTACCCATCTTACTTTCTTAGTACTACTCTAAGACAAGTGTCCCAAGTGACTGCTTCAAAGAATAAATACTTATTTTCTCACAATTTTAGAAATTAAAAGTCTAAATTAGGGTCTCTACCACATTGATTCCTTCCTTGTAAATATCTTGAGGTTTTCCTTGGTTTTTTGAGTTATAAATAATGCTCAGAAAGCATCAGTCTTCCCTGTGTGTGTGAATACTGCCAAAATATCTATTTTTAATCCAGAGACTGGTCATATCCTTTGGACATTCCCCTTTCAACAAATTTATTATCTTGTGGAAGATAATCTTGGCTCTGTTGAAAGCCAAACCATTTCACCACTAGACCATAACTGCAGCTAGGCTAGTGCTTGGTCAAACAACTGGGAACCATAGAATTAAGCACTGCTCCCACCTTTTCCTGGTGGTGGTTGGGAAGACTTCCCTCTCTATGGGATATTTCTTGAAATAATTTCTACTTCATTCTCACTGTAGATGCTGAGGAAATACATGACCTACATAATAGATCTCTTATCTGTTTGTTTTATTTAGGCAGCAATAAGGAAAGAACTAAATGAATTTAAGAGCACAGAAATGGAAGTCCATGAAGAGAGTCGACAGTTTACAAGGTAAACATTTGGCTTAAAGCCATCTAACTAATGTGGTCCACCTCTCCCACATCCATCCTTGTTTGCTTTACTGCTGACCAGTCAAGGTGGCAGACCCAATGATGGGATTAGATAAATGTCTAGGCTTTCACGGTAAGCTCACCTATCTTTCTATAAGAACACTAAAAGCAGTCACCTAGAATAAATTTCTGAAATATTTTTGGTTTTCATTTAAAGAATTGAGAATCATTTTAAAGGGCTACAGTTTTGTTTCTTTCCCCTCACTTTCTAGTTTCATTTCATGGGCCAGAAGGCCCTTGGTCAACCTCATTCACCCTGCTCTGATTCCATGTTGGTGAGAGTTGGTGTGGGTTCTTAGGTATTGGTTCTGGGCTCCCAGTAGACATAACTTAGAGAGAACAGAAACTCCATCTGCACAAGGCATGGCTGAGACTAGGAATCCAGTTTCACTGGCACCATAGACGATGATGGTAACCCTACCATTTTTCCCTTCCAGCAGTCTTCTGTTTCACAGGTAATTAAAACTAGAAAGGGATCTCAGTCATCATATAGTCTGACCTCTGCATCCCACAGGTCGTGTTCCTTTTATTGATCTCTCACAAGTTTACTCGTATTACTTCCTAACGATTTGCATACAGGTAAAATCTTGTCAAATGGAAGCACCAGTACAGGTAATTACATGAAGAAGAAGGTTATAGTAATTCTCTATGAAAACAATTTTCCTCCAGGTTAGAAATGACCTATGCAAGGCCCTCAGGCATCTGCCTTCTGCCTTGGTGTCTGGGTGCTGTTGCTCTGCTCTGTGCCGAACAAGTGTCAGTGCTGCTTCCAGACTGAGTCAAACTAAAAAAGGCCTGACAATGTACTCATGAAAACCAACAAGTGGACCCTCACTGATCACAGCAGTCCAGTTCCCTGTCAGGCAATGGAGATGGTGAAGGACTGGGAAGAATTTTGTTTAGTTGTACGTGGGGCTGCCATGAGTTAGGATCCCTTAACAGTGGCTGGAAACTTGTTTCAGGATCATAATCTCACTGTATTTTTTGCCCCAAAAATAAAAAATTATCCCAATGCCGTTTATTTCACCCTGAGGATGAAATTTCTCCTTTAATATATACCTGAGTCTGTGTCAAGATTCTTGAGTATATTCTAATGAGCTACTTGGTTTTTCCTGCACCATGCCTCATTTTACTATTTATTTAGAATAGATTTGCAGTGTATTTTTCATATCTGATGAGGCTTTTTAAAATCTTCAAAAGTCCATTGACTATTCTTTGATGTTTACTTTTCTAAAAGAAACTTAGACTATTGTTATGTTCCATAAAGTGCTCTGCTTATATCATGATTGTTTAGGAGAATAATAGCAGATGCAAATAGGAATGAAGTGCATTTCATGAAAACAAAATGGTCAGTGGCCATTTTAAGGGGATTGGTTTTGTTTTATTGGTGAAAGTTAATATCAAAGATAAACTTTAACATTTTCCAAAAACATATTGATTAACAAGCACTCTTAATAATTTCTCTCTAGATAAAGAATAATTAAATATTCATGGCAATGAGATAAATTTTTCTTGCTTAAGAATTCTTAAAGACTTGGCAGGAAGGCAAGCGCCCATGGCTGTTTTTCCATTAATTTCTATTACATCATGAGCATTGCTTTCCAGCAGGGAAATATTTTGGCTCTGAGACTTATGAAAATCATGCTTTTAAAAATCATTTTCAGTACTCCTTTTAAGAGGAAAAAGTTTGGGTAAATACGGCTGTTTCTAATCAAGTTATGCAAAAATATGATACTGCTTTGCATATAGGAAATGGCCCGTGAAGAAGAAAGCAGTGCCCTTCCTACCCACTGCCCTGGGAGGGAGTAAACGTTGAGTGAATCATCACCTGGTTCTATACGTACTGTCAGGGTCAAGAGAAGCTTGCCTTTCTTCTCATCAATATCAGACACACTTATCAGACACACACAATATCAGACTTACTGATGCCAAATAAGCCTTCCATTCAAACCTCAATCTCTTAGCTCCCTGTGAATTTGGGGTGATTGAGGAATAGATTCAAATAGCTTCATTCCCAGTCCATGGTTACCTCTTTATCCAGAAACTGTGTCATGCATAGTAAGGTAGTAGTGGACATTAGAAAGCTTTCTATGGATCGTGAATAATTTCCTTTGCTTCCAGACCTCTGGAAAGAGACAAAAATACAGTAGTACTGGCTGCCTCTGGGGAGGGAGCATGGTAGCTGGGGAGAATGCATGGGAGGAACACTTTTTTCCACTCATCTCTGTATTTTTTGAGTTTTTGAAACATGAGGATTTACTAGTCATAATCAAGAATATAAAAGAAAATATACACCTATTTCCATAAATATTCCTTTCTGTAAATAAGAATCCAACCATGCAGATGTCCCTTCAGTGATAGGCTGGCATTACATTAATGACAACACTATTGAGTTTTGTCCCCAGAGAAGCCACCTCTGTCACCTTCATCTTCGAATATGTCTGTGAGGAGTCTGATTTCTAGTGGTGAAGAGTTATGGCAAGCCAATCTTTTGATTACTCCCTCTAGCTTCTCCCAGTATGTTCTAGATCATTCTGATGATTATTCAGAAAAAAAAAAATAAATGCCGCCTGCCTTAGAGTAAAAGCTGGGTCCTTTACCCCAGAGTATTTTATTATAAAGTGGGGTTCTAGATACTCTCCCCATTCTCTTATTTTTAAATTTCATAAATATGAACATCCTGCTCACTCATGTTCTCTCTCTCCTCCTCCTCCTCCACCTCCTTCTCCTTTTCTCTCCTCTTCTTCTTCTTCTTCTTCTTCTTCTTCTTCTTCTTCTTCTTCTTCTTCTTCTTCTTCTTCTTCTTCTTCTTCTTCTTCCTCCTCCTCCTCCTCCT